TAGGACTTGCAGCCTATAAGAGACGTACTGGTCATTTCTTAACTGATAATTTAAAAGAGAACAGGTTGGTAAAATCGAAACAACCACTGAAGCGGTACGCAAAGGGAGGTCATAGAAAGTATTGTTTAGGGATGAGAATTTTTTACAATTGAGCAACATTTTAACAAACAAAATGACCGCATTTATGCTCAAAGCTCTAAGGAAGGTTCCCAATTAATCGACAGAGTGCAACGTGGGCACTATCCGACTTCAGTGATGGTTTGGTGGGGTATTAGCTATGAAGGAGTGACTGAGCCATACTTTTGTGAAAAAGGTATCAAAACATCGGCACAAGTGTATCAAGATACCATTCTTGAGAAGGTAGTGAAGCCCCTTAACAACACCATGTTCAATAATCAAGAATGGTCCTTCCAGCAAGACTCGGCGCCAGGTCATAAAGCTCGGTATACGCAGTCTTGGTTGGAAACGAACGTTTCGGACTTCATCAGAGCTGAAGACTGGCCGTCGTCTAGTCCCGATCTTAATCCGCTGGATTATGATTTATGGTCAGTTTTAGAGAGTACGGCTTGCTCTAAACGCCATGATAATTTGGAGTCCCTAAAACAATCCGTACGATTGGCATTGAAAAAATTTCCCATTCAAAGAGTGCGTGCTTCTATTGATAACTGGCCTCAACGTTTAAAGGACTGTATTGCAGCCAATGGAGACTACTTTGAATAAGCTTTTTATACTTTAAATTGTTTTATATTTATGTGTTAAACTAACACACTGTAAAAGTAATAAATGTTATTTGCAATAAATAAAAATTTAATTTTTTATTGTAACAGTATTTATGGCCAGACTAAGTATACTGATACCGAAACTCTGCTAGGGCTAGTTTAAGCAAATTCTCTAAGGTTGAGTCCGTGTGCTGTTCTAACCAAAATCTTTAACTAATAATAACTTTAGGTTGCTGTTCGTTTGCACCGGTCGTCTGTTCACACCTCATTTGATACGCGACGTAACTTTGGTCGACTCGAACCGCAGCGAGTTCACTTCCCGGCACAGCCTCGAATGGAAGTTCCTGTTTCTGGATCACCGCGCTCCTCCGATCATCGGTTATCTGCCGTTCGAAGTGCTCGGAACATCTGGATACGACTACTATCATTTCGACGATCTGGAAAAGGTTGTGACCTGCCACGAGGCATGTGAGTATAGTTGGGCATCTCTAGTACTTTTGTGCGGCTATGTTTTTTTTTGTTAGAAAAAGGAAGAGTAACTGTAAAAACATTCGGAAATTAGGAAACTGATAAATTATGTTTTAGAATTGAAACTGAATGTAATAATTTTTACATAGCAAAAAAAATTAGATCGTTTTATTTAAAATAATATGTAAAAAGCTAAGAACAAGCTCTGTTAGTTAATGATTTGCAGACTGAGGTTGGTAGGAGGACAAGGTAGTTTGTTGTTGTCACCGTACTAAGTCTCACAGCAGATCGTCTGAACAGGTCACGATTCCGATCTGATTGTAGATGCACTAAATAGAGTACTAAAATACACGCCGTTCGAAAATGCCACAAATAATTCAATATATTTGATTTTATTTTGGTTATGATACATTGATTAAGCTTAGAACCACTGCCATTGTGTACATATTGTCATTGGTCGTGAATCCACTGTTCACCACAATCTAACCGCAACTTAAGCAACTAGATAGAGACTTCGACGTCGTATGATAAGACTTTAAGATGACTGGCGGCATTCTAGTTGCGATGTCCATATTCTCTTATAAACACTTAACATCAGGTGAGCCGTAAGAAACTATATCCATCACCATTAAAAAATAAATTATTATAACTAACAATTTTAGCAGATTTATCAATTGCTCAATTAACACATTCGTTGTATGTAATGTTTATACATAATTATCTCTGTTGTTGTTTTGTCTATACAAAATATGCAAAGGTTTTTGACATTAGATTGGGTATCGATAAACAAATATGCTAAGAAACAAAGTGTAAGTGTAAATACATACAACAAGATTGTTATAGCTGGTCGGTTTTTAGGTCAATATAACGTACAGAATAATTACACCCATAGCTTACCCTTCGTTTCTTTAGCACTATGATGCGAAAGGCACTTTAAATAATAACTTACAGTAGCTCTCACCCTGCCAAGACGTTGTCGTTGGAAATGCGCATCAGTAACTATTTAAAATCAATTTGTATCGTCACCTCATCTATCTTTGACAGTATAATAGGTTGGGGAAAAAGTTTCTTCGCATTTTTTAACAAAATTCACAACCTTTTTTAAATATATTTTATTTACATTTAACCAAAGTATGTAGGTACCATTTTGTTCCATAACTTTTTGCCATCTTGTAGGTAGGGACATGATCCCATTGCTTAGAAACTTTGGGACTTCTGATCAAAATACCGCGACAATTGGTTTTGGCAGTCCTCTCCGTGATGTTAACCTGACACTGCCTAAAGAATTCTGAAGAGACTGAAACAGGTGGAAATCTGAAGGTGCAAGGTCAGGTCTATACGGCGGATACATTAACACCTCCCAGCTAAGCTCTCTTAATTTTTGCTGAGTGGCTAAAGATGTGTGAGGTATAGCGTTATCATGATGAAAAACCGCACCCCTTCTGTTGATTAATCCCTGCCGCTTTTTCTCAACTTCTTCCTTTAATCTCATCAAATTCTTACAGTAGAGTTCAGAATCGATGGTCCCGTCTGGTGGTAACAGCTCGTAATGAATAATGCCCTTCCAATCCCACCACACACACAGACTGACTGAACTAACTGAAATAACTAAAATATTAAGTAAATTTCGCATGTGTATTTATTGGGGTCGTAGTGATTATCTCTAAATCTAATGTTGTTGGAAAAGTTAGCGGAATCCTCATGAACTTATTAAAATGAAGTTATTTGTTAAGGAAATTTATTAATATATTCCTTTTAATACTGTATAAACTATTATATGTATGTATGTATATGTGATTGTGTATATATGTATGTATATACTTTTTTTTTGTGTACGTATTTGTAACTTAATATAAATTTCATTGCACCTACCACTATTCACTCTACACTACCTTTGGTTGACTGGTAGAGAATGCCTTATGTATTAAGTCCGCCAATGCAAATTTTACATGAAGTGTAATAAATAAAAAATAAATAAATAAATAAAAGTAATCGGGGGTCGCAGTGGACCCTGGTACAACAATGCTAGTCGGGACGCTGCACGCCTCAAGCGGTCCGCATACGTGGCATGGAATGATGCCAGGAGACGTCGGGATCCTAATACCTCAGAGGAAAGGCGGAAATTTAACGCCGCTTCTAGGTCCTATAAGAGGGCTATTGCCAAGGCGAAGTCAGAGCACGTTGCCAGAATTGGCGAGCGACTGAAGAGCTATCCCGTCGGGAGCCGTGCTTTCTGGTCGCTCGCTAAGGCTGCAGAAGGTAACTTCTGCAGGTCTAGTCTCCCACCACTACGCAAGTCCGATGACAGTCTGGCCCATAGTGCGAAAGAGAAGGCTGACCTTCTGGTCAAACTCTTCGCCTCGAACTCGACCGTGGACGACGGGGGTGCCACACCACCGAACATCCCCCGGTGTAATAGCTCCCTGCCTGAGATCTGCTTCACGCAGTGTGCAGTCAGGCGGGAGCTCCGACTCCTGGACGTCCATAAGTCGAGTGGGCCAGACGGCATCCCTGCAGTGGTTCTGAAAACGTGCGCCCCTGAGCTGACGCCTGCGCTAACGCGTTTGTATCGCCTCTCTTATTGCACTAACAGGGTTCCGTCTTCATGGAAGATTGCCCACATCCACCCTATCCCCAAGAAGGGTGACCGGTCGGACCCATCGAGTTATAGGCCTATCGCGATAACTTCCTTACTTTCCAAGGTGATGGAGCGAATAATAAATATACAACTCCTGAAGTATCTGGAGGATCGCCAGCTGATCAGTGACCGACAGTCCGGTTTCCGTCACGGTCGCTCAGCTGGCGATCTTCTTGTATACCTTACTCACAGGTGGGCTGAAGCCTTGGAGAGCAAGGGCGAGGCTCTTGCTGTGAGCCTTGATATCGCGAAGGCCTTCGACAGGGTCTGGCATAGGGTACTTCTATAGAAGTTACCATCTTACGGAATCCCCGAGGGTCTCTGCAAGTGGATCGCTAGCTTCTTGAATGGGCGGAGCATCACGGTCGTTGTAGACGGTGACTGCTCTGATACCATGACCATTAACGCTGGCGTTCCATAAGGTTCGGTGCTCTCCCCCACGCTTTTCATCCTGTATATCAATGACATGCTGTCTATTGATGGCATGCATTGCTATGCAGATGACAGCACGGGGGATGCGCAATATATCGGCCACCAGAGTCTCTCTCGGAGCATGGTGCAAGAGAGACGATCAAAACTTGTGTCTGAAGTGGAGAACTCTCTGGGGCGAGTCTCCGAATGGGGTGAATTGAACTTGGTTCAATTCAACCCGATAAAGACACAAGTTTGCGCGTTCACTGCGAAGAAGGACCCCTTTGTCATGGCGCCGCAATTCCAAGGAGTATCCCTACAACCTTCCGAGAGTATTGGGATACTTTGGGTCGACATTTCGAGCGATGTCCAGTTTCGGAGTCATTTGGAAGGCAAAGCCAAGTTGGCGTCCAAAATGCTGGGAGTCCTCAACAGAGCCAAGCGGTACTTCACACCTGGACAAAGACTTTTGCTCTATAAAGCACAAGTCCGGCCTCGCGTGGAGTACTGCTCCCATCTCTGGGCCGGGGCTCCCAAATACCAGCTTCTTCCATTTAACTCCATACAGAAGAGAGCCGTTCGGATTGTCGATAATCCCATTCTCACGGATCGTTTGGAGCCTCTGGGTCTGCTGAGGGACTTCGGTTCCCTCTGTATTTTGTACCGCATGTTCCATGGGGAGTGCTCTGAGGAATTGTTCGAGATGATACCAACGTCTCGTTTTTACCATCGCACCGCCCGCCACCAGAGTAGAGTCCATCCATACTACTTGGAGCCACTGCGGTCATCCACAGTGCGTTTCCAGAGATCTTTTTTGCCACGTACCATCCGGCTATGGAATGAGCTCCCCTCCACGGTGTTTCCCGAGCGCTATGACATGTCTTTCTTCAAACGAGGCTTGTGGAGAGTATTAAGCGGTAGGCAGCGGCTTGGCTCTGCCCTTGGCATTGCTGAAGTCCATGGGCGACGGTAACCACTCACCATCAGGTGGGCTGTATGCTCGTCTGCCTACAACGGCAATAAAAAAAAAAAAAATACGAAAAATATTTTAATATCGCCATTGGCATTTATTTTTACTCTCTATTGATTATAGGTATTATATAAAAGTTTAATAATGCGTCAATACTGTACTTGACCTAAAAACTAATATCGAACTGCAGAATAGCAGAAATTATTGTTTTGTATTGAAATCCTACAATATTCCACAAGTGTGATGTTTGTTCGATGGCTTCGAGCATTGTGGTATTCGTTGAATGCCTTTAATTAGTTTCAAAACCTAATTACTTTGTATAGTATTAATTCATATTATTATTATGCAAGTAAACATGCATTCATGGAATTGAAAAAGTCATTGCGACATTGGTTTACTGTTTCGGAGTAACTATCATAATTCACGATTGATTACGCATATACAGGTAAACCTTAAAAAGTCGTAAAACAAAAAAAAATTGTAAAGGTCGTAAAACATGAGATCGAAATCTCATACGCATTATATTAAAAATCTCATACTGTACGTTAAGTTGAAGTCATTTTTTATGTATAGTTTTTTTATTTCTATCAAACAAAATGTGCACCCATGGTATCGGTTCATCCCTACCAGCGAAGTGCTAATTTTTAAATGCCATTCTTGACGCAATAGGACCAATGTTGTTGTGATACTAAAATTGAAAACAACTGCTAACTCTGCAGTAAATTGAGGATCGTCAGCTTCCACGATCGCCTTTAATTCGTCATTGTTGGCCTAAGTTTTCGTGCGAATACGGGTTTCATCAATTTCAATTGAGCAGTATTTTAAAACGGCAATTTCATAGGCAGATACCTATTACGAGTATAAAGGATGTAAGAATCCCTAGGGTTCAAATATTGCATAAATGTATTTTTGATTAATGCATGTTTCTACTGCATATGATAATTATTCCGGGTTCGACGAATCACGTTAGTCGGAAGAGAATATTGAAAACATATTATGCTGTCAACAAGATCTCTTTAAACCAGAAACATGTCAATGCTCTCTCTCCGGTGAATGTTCTAGATAAATTTTGATGTTTGCAATACAAATTCATGACTGTTGCACGTCACACCATAATAATATGCCGTTTCATGAATATATTTCATATTAATTTATGTTACAATAAATTGTTGGGTCAAACAAATTCTTACCGTCCATTGTTGTTGTATGATTGATCGTTTTTATCACTATATTGTCGTTAACCGATACTATATTTTATAACTCAGATTTATACCTTTAAAATTAGTTCCGTTACTTATTTATAATAGAGATTTGACATGGCTGGGCGTATGAATTATTGTGGTTTTGAAACCTCAAGGTTCCACCACCATCGTTTTGACTATTTCTGCCGCAAAACAGGTTAAAAAAAATCTAAAAAAAAAACATCATCCTATTGTCGGATTAGCATTGGCTTAATCGTATTATTTGCTTAACAGAAATATGTTTACTTTAAAAAGTATAGCAACAATAATAGGACTTTAATGATTCGAAATCTTTAATTTCTAATTAATAAAACATTACTTTATGATATAAGATTGTATAAAGTAATTACGCTAAACAAATAAACCGGTCTCTACTGGCTGTCAAGTGATAACAGAACAACTTCATTGACCACCGTTTCCCATTTATTATTACGAGTATGTATATTATGTTAAACAAAAACATCAAGAGCTCCCCAAAAAATAATCTAATTTAGATGTATATATTTGTTTCCAGTGATGCAGAAAGGTGAACTCACATCCTGCTACTATCGATTCCTGACGAAAGGTCAACAGTGGATTTGGCTTCAGACTCGTTTCTACATCACTTATCATCAATGGAACTCGAAACCGGAGTTTGTCGTATGCACTCATCGAGTTATTAGGTAAGTTTCGCAATTTACGTACTCAACCCGCTAAATTGTAATTTGCGTAATTAGTGGTATTAGGACCTCTTGTGAGTCCGCACGGGCAGGTACCATCGCCCCGCTTATTTCTGCCGTGAAGCAGTAATGCGTTTCATAAATAAAAAAAAATGTTAGTGATTCATCCAAATTTATTTTATCGCCTACATACTCTACTTGATATGCTCATGCACACGTAAACACGTGTTTTTGATAAAGTCGATTCACCGAAAGCCTTCTTTAAAAGTTTTCAGTGACTCCGAAAATAGAAATTTCATTGGCGTTGCAAAATTTAAGGCAAACTCTTTATTTTATGTTTTTGTCCATTATGAAATTTCCTAGAGTACGGTTGTATGGCTAGAGGTACAACCAGGCGGAAGCCTACTGTAATATGCTCTCCTCAAACCCGGTGTTTGAAGAAAGACTTCTCATAAGTTAACGCCACGAAGGAAAGCTTATTTCAAAATTTCATAGTATGTCATGGATATATATACTCAAATGATAGGAAATGCAGGAGAGGATGAAAAGTAATAGTGATGTGAAGATCTATTGACTGGTCCATTTCTCTTTAGACCAAACACTAAAAACAAAAAAAAAACATTTTTACTATTAGGTATTTGTCATAGAGAGAACTAATGCTAGATATGTTTTATTTGAAGACTGTTAAAAACTCAACAATGACGGTACAAGATAGACAAAACGTATCTGTGTATTTGTAACTATATGAATTTCAATGAGTATTGAGAAACGTTGCCTTTTTTTCTCCGTACATTTAGTATTCTAATTTCTGTGGATTATGTAAACAGTCAACTGTATTTGTTACACTAAGAATATGACGTAACACGAAGACAGATATTCCAGAAACAAACTACGATTTGTGCGTAGAGAATCATATCGACGCCTGAAAGACAAACATGACTAAGCGACAATGCGTGAACTTTACAGTAGACTAATTAATAGTTGAAATACCTGAAAAAAATCTATTTTAACGAATCTAGCTATAGTATTGAAATTATTTTAATAGACCTAGAAATATATATTTTTTGCGCATCGAATATGGTTATTGCCCATCACTTATGTACAAAGCAGTTATTGTCGCTTAGTCACGTTTGCCTTTCAAGCGTCGATATGTACTGGGCTCGGTATTGTTGACACTAAAAAACTATTGTTCTTACTGATGATTAGTTGTGAGCGATCGAATTTGTATGTACAATTAATTCTATTTATATATTCACGCATTGCGAACACGGCTTACGTATATAAATTAAATGTAGACTAGTGGTCCCGCAGTAGTCGAAATTCGACTATAATTAACTAAAATTATAAGTTTGAACATTATTAAGGTTCTATTGTCAAAGACTATTATTATACTTCTATAATCACAGATTTCGACTACACTATAGACAAATCAATATAAAGACAAACAATATTAATATATTCTCAATTTGATCACATTATAAGCAATAACAAAAATTTGACAATAAACAAAGGGATAACAAAAGTTTGACAACAAACAAAGGGTATGTGTGTGTTGTGTCAAATACATGGTGGTCAATAGTGTGTGTAATATTTTTATGTATATTTTATGTATAATTTTTATATTGATCTAATGTATTATTAATGCATTTTTTTTTTAAAATATTAGCATTCTGCACTCCTTGTCTATATTCTCTATAAGTGTGGAAAATTTCTTACTTCTCCTTTTTTGCTTCACGTATTAATATATAGATAGATATGTCTATTACGTCAAAACTTATAAAAACTAAAGTGAATGTAAATATAAATTATTATATTAAATAAGAACTGACCCGGCAAACGTCGTTTTGCCATATAAATTATTTCTAGGAAAGACAAATAACCTAGATACCGACTGCAGCGCTCTCTGCCGGGCTGATTTGTGAATCTAAACCATCCAGGGTGCCATCCAAATGCATACAAAAAAAAAAGCATTCAAATCGGTCCAGCCGTTTAGGAGGAGTTTAGTGACAAACACACGCACAGAAGAAATATATATATATAAAGATATAATATATAAATTTATAATCTTTAGGTTGTGCACATTACTTTATTAAGCTAGGTAAAAATTGTCGCAATTCATACTAGAATTTCAATCCGACTACACAACTTCCGTAAAGGTTTTCGAGTGTATGTAAGTACATACCTGTAATCCTTTGGCGCGTTCTACAACCTAAACTTTTTGACAGAATTCTTAGGTTGGCGGGCGTAGTTGAAATAGCTTCTTAGGCTATCAACAAATAGTTAGGGGAAAAAATTACGGACTTTCAACATTTATTTCTTTGCTTGTGCATATGATTATTTTTCATTAACCGACTTTCAAAAAGGATGATGTTCTCAATTCGACTGTATTTGTTTTATATGTTAGGTGAGATCTTTTGCAGAAGAACTGATTAATCTATTTATTTGAAAGCTGGTGTTTCTCACGTGGTCTCATTTAAACTTTATCAAGATCTGACCAGTAGTTTGAGTATATTTATTAATAGATATTTAATTGATTTCGACTGCATTGATGATGTTCTCGTTTTATTCTACTGACGTCGATTATATTGTTAAAATTTTTGTATATTAAATTTTTAGTTAGTATTTTCAATGCAGTAGAGTTCATTTTATAATAATTATTTTTCTCCTGATCCCTAACGGCTATCATACATAGCTCATACGTTTTAGTGGAATTCGAGTTACTGTTTACTTTATGGTATAAAAATAAGCGTCTCTTATTCTCTGGCTCTTAAACTATTTCTTCGCATACAGGGTTGATTAGGTACCTACGTGAAATAAGGAGAAACACATAGGAAGGGATACCTTTAGTCTATATTTAAGGACAGGCTTTTATTAAGTGCGGGGAGTCCAAATTAATTTTATGTTTGTTTTTAAGTTGTGCCTCAAAGAATAGTATTAAATAAGATTTATAAAAAAAAATAACAAAAACACAATAATGCCGATTAAAAGAGCGTTTCGATTCCATTATTAGTCGAGGGTGACTACGTAATATGCAGTACATTTCCACTATTGGCCATGCAAATGTTTTGTTATCTAAACGTGTACAATTTATAGTTGAGCACGCCTGTGCTCTAAAAACTTGTATTCTCGTTTACAGTAAATGCCATTCAAATTTCACGCGACGTTCCGCTAAGCAGCCGTTGCTCTTATATGTTTATTTGCGTGTCGATTGAATAAACAAAAACAAAAAAAAAAACATAATCAAGTTTTTAGTTTCGTAATGTCGATCGAATTACAAAAACCCCTCACCTGTGACCTAAATGAATCTACAAAAGCTTCCTGGTAAAACAAAATTAATTAATTACATTAACAGGCTAAATTTTTTTTTTTTGTAAACATAATTTTTTTTACTAAATTTCGGTTTTCGTTTGGTATTATTTCAGCAATGCTGACATCGCCAAAAACGCCAAGCAAGAAAGCGCCGAACCTGACAACGTGAGTGAGGCGGACGCCAGCCACGGGACTATAAAAGATGCCCCTTCGGAAGAGAATAATCTGATGGTCATGTCGCCATCGTACATGTCCGACGCTAGTGACGCCTTCACAAACTCCTATCACAGGACGTCTCAGGTAATTTTTTTTTATATATTTTTTACCATCGGAGGCGGAACGTCTTCGCGATCCGGGCGTGACCATTGACGACGAACCTGTCGGCGTTAAGCCAGTGTTTACACACAAATACAATACAATTCTATAAAACTTTAACATTACTATTTTATTACAAAAAGCTGCGTTTTAGTTCTTACACAATTAGCCATTTTGTGATGGTTATAGCAACTACAACTTCTTTCATACAAACAAATGTAATTACTGCGAAACAATTCACAAACTATAGCTTAATATTCATAAAACATAATAATATTTTAGTGATTTTTACATGACTGACCTTTAATTTATTTTACATGAATTACTTTTAAGTAATATTAACTAACATTGTTATTATCCAGCCTAATAATAGATGGCGCCAACAACATGTTTGCATAACAATTACAATACATAATTAAATTATTACTGTTAATTATAATATAAATTATTATTAATATTTATGGTTTATTCATATTAATTATTTATACAGTAATTTGTGTTTTTAAATAATAATATAAACATTAAACAAATATTCTGAACATTTTCACATCAAAACAGTGTCTGCTAATTATTAAATATGGTACAATAACAGTTTCATCTTGCTAATAATAAATAAATATTAACATAGAATAAACTAAACTATATATTATTATGTTAATTATTGCCAATAGTGGCGTTTGCGCCCATAAACCCATTGATTAAAGATGTTACCAGAAAGGGCTTTAAAGCATCGAGATTTATATTTCGTAATTGGAGAGAATTAAAAAAGCCAAGCTCCACAGTTACAATATATGGGCCTCTCGTGCGCAGTATTTTGTTATAATGGGGTGTTGTTTGAAACTTGTGGAACGTTTTCTGTGGTACATTCTCTTAACTCTAAATGGGTGGGTAGGTTTTTGAATAAATTGATCCATGGCATATGTAATATATCTATATGTCCCTAAATATTTTCCAAGAAGGAAGAAATTTAAACTGTCAAAAGACAACTCGCTCCCTAAAATCTAAGTTTTAACTTTTCTTTGAACAAAATCTTTTGAGATTGTTAATGTTTATAACAGCAGGTCGATGGTAGCTCGGAACTGTACGATTGCACTGATTGAAATAGAAGCCATGAAATTGTTTTTTTTTTTTTTTGTAATTATCTGGAAATGTCAGGTGTGGATTATGTCCTGACGAAATAAAAATTAATTTATAAATTTAGTGAGCCTCGAAGGCTTAAAGTGATTCGTAATATTAATCCAATCATACGTAGTCGATGAAGTTTTATCAACTAAGTATTTTTCTCTAATTTATATTTTTTGACATTTTTATCGACAATCGGCATGGGCTTAAATCGATTTCGTAAAGCTTAGTTACCTAAGTGAAATTGTATTATAATTTTTTTTAATTCATTGTATTGTTGTTTCCATTACCTATTATTGAGGTTGATGTTTTGAGTTGACGATCGATTAGTTGATGAAACTAATTAAACTAATAAATAAGCGGGCAATGGAGTCCATAGACATCACAATTAGAGTGTTAGTGCACTATGAACGAACACTATAGATGGCTGACGATAGCTTGGATAGTGTCAGTCCAGCTCTGGTTTAGGGAAGATCGATATTAGAAAAACATCGATGTTAACATCGATTTAAAAGTATTGATGTACGACTAAAATCAATAACGAAACATCGATATTTTTGGTAGGAAATAAAACAGTCTCTTTTATTTATTATACGTGTTTATTTATTAAAGCTACGTTTTACGGGCGTTTCATTATTGTACTTGACTCCGACATCACCCATCACAATTAACATTTTTTTTAATATTACACTCATTTATGTAGTACGGCTGACTTCTATTACGTTTACCAGTGTCATCTAGTTTAAAATAATTGTACTACCTAGGGACTCACTAGCTAGAAAATACATCCACCATTAGATGGCCCTAAAAGATATACGGACGTTTCGATACTTCTATATTTTATTCTTATAATATCGATGTGTCGATGTTATCGAAACTAAAACATCCACGTTAAAATATCGAATTAAACATCGATATTTATTCAACATCGATGAATATCGATCATCCCTACTCTGGGTTTGTAAAGGAAATTTGTTTTGAACAGGACTTTTTGGCGGGAACGCGGGAAGTTGTGTGATTTGTTTTATTTTGTCTATTTAGTGTTTCTACAGGTTTAAATGTGTAATAACGGTGGTTTATTAACTGTTTAGTATCTGTGAAAGTGCACAAATGTGGGAAAATGAAACGAAGCCGCTGAATGTAACTTCACGGGATCCTCCAAAAAGTCAACTGAAAAAAATCTTAGTAAATGACCACCATTTTACTGAGATTATATTTCATCCCATATCATCTCATCTCATTTCATTTAATTTCATCCCAGTTGATTAATGTCTCAAATTATCATCTTCATTTCATTAAAAATAAGAGTATAAATTAACATAAGACATGACTTAAAGGTCTTAGTGACCAGGTCATAAAATTACTTTAAAAAATATATATATACAGTCGTGGTCAACTAATTAGGGACGATCTCTAGTTAAGCCAAATTGTGAATTTTTTATTTATTTTCCAACGTGTCTTAGCAATATTCCATATCTTTTACATGTAAGTGTAATTAGTCATTTATGTGCGCGATTATACAAACAATAACAACTTCTTAAACATTAAACCTCTTTACAGTATAGCTGATACATTATCATAGTGCTACTGGTTCAAAGAATGCTGGCTGGCCATTTAATTAGGGACACTGAGGTATTGGCGTTCTAATTTCATAATTGGAATTTTAATACTTTTTTGTTTCTTTTCTTATTGTTTAGTGGTCGTTTTGGCGGCAATCCAGATTTTTTATTTTAAGTTTTGAGAATTATTTTGAAGAAAAATGGGCAAAAATAAAAGTTGCGATCCAACACTACGAAAAATTATCATGAAGTTTGTCGAGCGTGGTTGGTCATACCGAAGGATAGCACAACATTTAAATTGTTCAAAAACTATGGTATGCAATGCAGTGCAACATTTCAAGCGCTATAACACAACTTTAAATGTGTTCAGAACAAAAAGATCGAGAAAAACGACTCCGCAAGAAGATAGAATGATAACCAGGTTAGCTAAGAAAGATCCGTTTCTAGGCTCTATTTTAATTAAACACGAAGTGTTTGGGGCAAACGAAAGAGCCGGTGTATCTGCGAGGACCGTTCGACGACGTTTGGTAGAAGCAGGGTTGTTCGGAAGAGTGGCTCGCAAAGTACCGTTGTTGAAGAAAGAACATAGAAATGCTCGTTTGGCATTTGCACGTAAATATGGACATTGGACCTACGCCCAATGGCAACATGTACTTTTCTCTGACGAGACCAAGGTTAATTTGATTTCTTCAGATGGAAGGCAATATGTACGGCGTCCTGTAAAAGCGGAAATGAATCCAAGATTCACAAAAAAACAGGTGAAACATGGCGGTGGAAACATTAAAATATGGGGTTCATTTTCTGGACGTGGAGTGGGACCTGTGAGGAAAGTTCAGGGTAACTTAGACCAACATCAATACAAGGCAATATTGGAAGAAACTATGCTTCCCTATGCTGAGGAGCATCTCCCTATTATATGGACGTTTCAGCAGGATAACGACCCGAAACATACCGCCCATTCAGTCAAGTCGTTTCTTACCAGTCAGTTTGTATCGGTGCTAGATTGGCCAGCAAATAGCCCGGACCTCAACCCAATTGAGCACCTTTGGCACGAAATCAAGAAAAAAGTTGCCACTTATCGTAATACAAATTTGGATGAACTTCATGAAGCTTTTTGTGAGGCATGGGCAAACATTCCTGTCGAAACATGTCAGAAACTGATAATGTCTATGCCACATCGGTGTCAAGCGGTAATTACTAACAAAGGTTTTGCTACTGGGTACTGATTTTACACGTAATAAAATGGAGCTGTTAAAGATATTATAACACTGAAGATTATAAGTTTTGTGTAACTGTATTTTTCATTATACTTTACTGTCCTTAATTAAATGTCCACTACAGAATTGTACCTTAATATTTAATACATGTTTAATCTTTGATATTAAATACTTTTTCTATTTATTAAATCTTTTATTTACAGCCATTTATAGCATAATAATCGGACCACATTATGCAAATAATAGGTGCTGAGAAATCAATAGGGTTTTATATTTAAATGTACATAACCGGTTATAGCCCTTCACTATCTTGAATGTCCCTAATTAGTTGACCACGACTGTATATATATTTCGAACAGCCACCGTCCGTGAAGTCCGCGTCGGCTTCGTGCGCCTCCGGTGGCGCTAATAGTGGGACCGCCCCGCCCTCTACCACAGCGTGGCAGCATTCGTCGAACACTCGCTTCGCCCGTTCCGACACCACATCGGCGTCCGGGGAGTCCAGGTCGTCTCAGAGGAACAACTCGCACGAGGTACCGTATCGCTGACGTCACGGTAATATCGGGTGACTTGCGGATTAGGAAAATCGGACGTACCTCAGATTTTCTGATCACCGTATCGGGTTGATGTCAATAAAATATAAATCGAGAGCTGAAAGGCTGTTTGGTTTAAGCGGCATTCGATGTTTTTTATTGAACTTCAATTATGGATACCCAAATGAAATATTTGATTTTTGTTGTCACGATATTTTTTCCAAATTTTTTACTTTAAATAGTTCTCGTGTAAAATTGCAAAAATGTTTCTTAAACTAAATAGCCTTTCCGCTCTCGAAAGAATGATACGGTTTATTGTTTCTTTAAATATCCGCAACTCATCTACACAATAATATGCAATAATGTTTTAGTATTTCCAGTAATACATAATAGTCAGTAGAGGGAGCATAGTAGTAAGCATTAGATATAGTTTTAACTGTTTTAGAGAATTGTAATGCGTTGTTCCCGTTTATTGTTATAGGCTTAGCTCAATGTTTATTATTATATTAGTGTAGTTGACAGTTTTATAAGCAGCTGAATCTCGATAAGTTAATAAAGTGCCTATTAAACGTTATTTAGAGAAATATTGCCAATTGTAGTTAGTTCTGTACTAAAATACACTTCAGGCGCGCAAAAAATTAAGTACACCTCTACTACAGTAATATTACTACTGTATGTATATGTTTTTGTGAATTATCACGAAAGTCATCCCGCCGTATAAGGATTAAGACACCTGCTGTGCGTTTGTTTGTAGTTTTTATATTCATGTTACACTACTTCTGATGAAACTTAGACTTATATTATTGTAACTGTCGCAAAACATTAGCTAGCTAGCGTTTGAAAAACAGAATAGCTATCACTTCGAGTTCGAGTTCCATCTGAGTACAAAATACACTACAATTTACTATATATATATATTTATACTAGCTGTACCCGTCCGCTTCGCTGGGCATTTAAAATTATTATTTTTTATTTCGGATCCCACAAAGATACTCATCATTAACGCCCCCGCAACTGGTGTCCGACACTCCAGAATACGTCTACCCCAACGGTTATCGGTTCTGCGACATATGTGACCAGCCCACTGCCACTTCAGCTTACTAACTCTGCGAGCTCTATCGATCACTTTGGTTTTTGCCTGAATGACCTCATTGCGTATTCGGTCTCGCAATGAAAAACCAAGAATAGCTCGCTCCATAACTCGCTGAGTAACTTTTAGTTGGTGGACTAGTCGCACAGTCAGTGTCCACGTTTCGGCTCCGTAGATAAGCATATCCATTAAGCCCAACCTAATCCAAGCCTATCCGTTAAGTACATGTATTTTCTACAGGGATACCAAGTTTCAAGTCAATCGGATGCACGGTTCAGTAGTTATAACGGAACATCCGTAAAAACACTGTAGATTTATATATTAGTATAGATATATACCACAATTTCGGAATAAAATAATAATAATAATAATAATAATAATGAATGTCAAAACTACCTTAACCTAAAGGCCGGTTTGGATCTCGAGTGCTCAACATGTACACGCGTCCAGCGTTACATTATTGGGCAGTCCAGATCCATCCGCGAGGCGAACGAGGTAGCTATTGCGACTGACCCGCGCACAGCGAATCAGTGAAGCAATTCGTTTACGAATGATTGCTACGAAGCTATCTATTCACACACCGCAGTGACGCGGCATCCTCATCAGCGCTCTGAAAACATTATTATATTGGATATGGAGGGTATTGTAGGATTTCTTGGTGTATTCAACCCATAGGCTGCACGTGTAGAAAGACTGGCAGTATGCTCTGAAAAGAGTAGCTTCCACTTCTGCAGTACATCGCGTGTACCTACTGGCTAGCATATTACCCCTTATTAACAACGCCCTGCGTCCCTGTCCATGTCTAAGTCGTCTGCAAGCGTCTCAGTGACCCAGTTACTTGAATTGCGATACTTGCTTAAGTACACTGCCGTTGAGTGTGACTGATCGGACAGTTTTATAGGTCTTTTTGCCTGATTTAAATACCATTAGTTCGCTTTTAACGGCATTATATTTGCATTATATCTAAGCCCATGTTCCTCCATTGTAATCGCTTAGGAACGTATAGAGGACCAACATGCGTTACAAACAAATCAACACCAAGTCGACTCTTAGTCCGTCCATCCATTTTAGCAATAATAAAATGTTGAGAAAGAAAAAAAGCTTTAAATTTAACATATTTAAGTTATCGAGGTTCTTCTGTATTTGTATTTTAGTAATTAATTCAGGGTAGCTACGCTTAAAAGCCACTAATGCACCGATGTGTCCAAGCATGTCTTAGCTCTAAGGCTAGAACGCCATCTAAATTGTCGGACAGCCGTGTTTAATTATATATCTAATACAGGATTCGAAGATACTACACGACTAGAAGAAGGACTCTAAAGCGTACGATAACATGAATGTTTGTCCGATAGCTGGCGCACGGTGGGGTCGCGAACGTTAACGAACATCCGTGTTACGGTAGCATGATGTTCCCGCAGTCGTACAAAGCGGGTTCGGAACCGGCTCTGGTACCGCAACACGGCATCGGGGCTCAGTATCTAGAGCCGGACCCCTACGTAAGTGCGGTCAGTCTGCCCGGCGTTCTGCCTTTACCTTTGCCGCCTCTACCGATCATCGTGTCCCCCGATCAGGCTCAGATACAGGTGAGTGACGCGCTAGTCGCCCCACGAAATTCATTAGTGATTCGCCGGGTCCGGGTCAGCCCTAACAGCACCCTGAAGGCATCAACAGACCGTTATGACTGTCGGTACTTGAACCATTGTACCGTGGTTCGCTTGCGGACTAAATAATAATAATAATAATGGTTCGTTCGAAGTAAGTATCGGTTGAATGGAATATTTGAAATGTATTCAACTGATAATTATTTTTACTAAATGTATCTTTTTTATTTGATTGGTTGTGTTAATTTTAAGTATGTTTCAATAATACTATGTACACATATGGACTTGTTGTTGACTGAAATAAAATAAATCCTTCATTCATTCATTAGTGAAACAACGCGTTCGGGTACTTGGGTTTGTGAATGTCAAGAAGAATGTCTTCCAACTTGCATCTTGGTGATGGTTATGCTGTGATAATTAATTGAATTTGAAAGTTGTTACAGGGAGTAAGAAAACAACGGTTATTGTTGATTCACTCGTTTTAACTACTATTGCTGCGTTTTAATATGCTTTATCACTAAACTAAAGTTTAAAAAAACTTCATATTATGTATTATATTGTTGTGCGTATATTCAGAATTTGAATAAATTTCACTTCTTATACGTTACTACATTATACTATGCTTTACGCAATATACATAATGAACGATACGGTTCGACAGAGAGACAAACAAAGGTAGGATGTAAATTACTCGACCTTGTGTACCGAAAAATGTCTCGACCTTCACGACAATATAAATTTAAAACCGTACGTATCTTAAATTAACGTCGGAACGCTACTTCGACAAAGCGGTACGACACGATAACTATCGTTGCCGCAGCTTATTACTTATTGGGCCCTAAGCGACGGGGCAACACAAAGCCGCCGTTGTCCGAAACATTTACTTCCTCTATGAAGTTATACAAATTAGTGGCTGTGGCAGGAGCAGTTGCAGAGAAAACACGAGGAACTTCAGCAGATGATCTTGAGACAACAAGAGGAGTTGCGACAGGTGAAAGAACAATTACTACTGGCCAGGCTTGGTATACTGCAACCCCTTATAAATGTAAGTACAATGATATTTTTTACGAGGTGAGGGAGGAGCCAGCTACGCGCGTACCAGTTTTACGTAACGAATTTTTTATTCCCTTTTTATTATGCATTAATTCACGTTCGTATCCTTTCTTTAGAGCGTAGTAGTTTATATTTGGTTTAAAATTGGTCACGAATAGAAACTTTTCAATGTCGTATAGTAACGCGAGATAGTTACGACCCACTGATTTTCTCTCCGGATCTTCTCAGTGGGTCACTGCTCTTTCTAGGGCTAGTTTTGGAAAATTCTCTTAGGTTGAGCCCGTGAGCTCACCTACCCGTCCGAATGGGCGTAGTTACATAGCCTCTTAGGCTACCAGCGAAAAAATAGGCGGAAAAAAAGCGAGATAATCGTTTAAAACATTTGTAAGAAACGACTCAAACTAGACATGACAAGTTTCTATTTTATCCGTTTTTTATTTATTTTAACTATGCATGTTAGGTGTGTAGGAGCAGAATAGTTCGTTTTGTCTCTAAACTTAGTTCAAGTCTATACGTTTTAGTTGATAGTTTATCCGTGCGACAGGTCCCGAATCCGTACGCGAATACAGAAGAGACACAGCAAATGCAACGTTTGCCGACTCAAGTAAGTTACGACAGGCCAGCTCAGCGCTCGATAAGCGGATACTCTCAGACACAGCCGCCCCCACATCTGTCAGCCCTCCAGCCACACTCGCAACTTCAACACCAACACCAACACCAACATCAACACCCGCGCATGCAGTAAACAACACCGACCAACATGTTGGCGATATTGGGTCAAATAGTTGGTGCTACGAAACACCGGCGTTCTATTGCAAACTATTGCAATTCAATTTGCGGAACATAATCGACGACATATTTTATGTGATTATGAGTACCATGATTCTTACCTTGTCTAATGCCATATAAGTACATATACTTGAATCTACAACCTGATGTTGTGAAATCATGTTTCATACCTTATGTCTATTCATAAGGTCGTGCAAATGGCCCGTTGCGGAACTAGTGATGTAAGATTTTGTTATATTATAATTTGTTACGTTAATTTTGTTTTTGAAGTGTCGCGGACATTTTTTGTCAAACGCCAATCGGTAAAAGAAAAGAAAAAGAAAATATAATGGTTTTTCTTTTTTTTTCGTCCGTTATGGTTGAATATTTGTTTACAAGAGAAGGCTGTGCGTTTCCATTACTATTATTATGATTAGTTAGAAAATACTATAAATATTTTTTTCTATTAAGTTATTATATTACGTTTCGTATGTTGTTTATGAAAACACGATAAAGTTTAGAACACATTGTAACTTTATATCTTATTGTCGTCTGCCAGTGACGTATCATGCGGCGTTTCACAGTGAAACTATGTTTTTTATTATTGTTATTAATAATAAAACACGTTTAAGTCTATACTTATGTACATAAAATTGGAATTGATCTCGATGTAAATTTGTACCCAAATAAATTGATGGGATATATATATATACATATTTAAATATACATATGTGTACGAGTATTTGTCGTAAAAAAGTTGTGAAACGTCTTAAACGATTGATAGGTGAGTATTTTAGATGTACGTCTAATATTTATATTATGAACGAGCCTCGATAATTAGGTACCTTTTTCATGTAACTAGATGAAATTTACACGTTTTTTTTGTTAGTTTAATAAACACATTCTCAAAAATAAATATAAAAACGGATATAGTACATTTGAGGCTGTCTATTAATGTTACGATTAGTTTTTAATTTCGTTTGTTTTATATATTTTACAAAAATATATACTTTTTAATTTTCATATATTCTATTTGAAATTCGTTACATACTTAGTTACTTTAAATTAGTTAATTTTTTATATTTTTCTTTCGTTATATTTAAATAAAAAATTAACGTTTTTTAGATTTTATAAACGTCAAGGACAATAATTATAACCTTCGATTGTGTGTAATCGATTTAAACATTTAGAAATGTTTACGATTATATATTTAAGTATCTAACTGTGAGAACGGTTGCTCGTAGGTTTCTTTACGAAACTTATTTAAAAAAAAAGTTGGTTTTTATAATAGAGGACCGACACTATAATATTCGAATTTAAAATCGTAATACTTGACGAATTTAGAGAGTGGTAATCTGTGAATTTAATCGATAAATTTAATAAATTACGACCTCGTTTTCGTTCGCGTCATTCTTCACGCGTTCTAAAGAGAGGGGAGGTGGGGGTCGGGGGTCGGGGCGGCCGAGTGCAATTTACGTCATAGGACTTACCTACCTGAAGCACAAGAAATCGGTCACGCTATATTAGAGGATTAATGATTCGATGTCAACTTGATCGCCCTTTACGGGCGGGAAAATTTAAAGTGTCAATTGTTGTGTTGATTCGCAATTGTTTCTGCGGTTTCTTTGGTACAGCTTAAGGTCATGTGAAACAACAGATGGCTTCATGTGTCGCGCTGTAAAGGAATGGTATTAATAATTTTCAACGAAAAACTCTTTGAATCGTTGTGAATTAAAAGAGAGTGAAGAATCTGCGTGAAATCGGCTCAAAATTGGGCCCCTTTACATTTCATTCGAAAAGTATTATGAATGTATGAAATAAATTAGCTGAATTTTTTCTCGGACTTTTCTTAGAAGTCTGTGTCCGAAATTTAAAGTAATTTTTTATACTTAGCTAAATGGTAAATAAATTTTTCTAATAAGTTACGCTATTTAAACAAAATGTACCAAATTCGTGTAAAATGTAGGAGGATTTTTGTTATGCGGTGCTTTCTGGTCCGCCCTAATGCGTTTCTTTTTTCCCTACCTATGCTGATAGCCTTGAGAGGCTATTTCAGCTTCGCCTCGACGTGTAGGTGAACTCACGGGGCTCTAACCGGGAGTGTTGATAACACTGGCTCTAGCAAGAGCAGTGCTTCGTGGAATCTACCACCGGACCGAAAACGCGACCCACTGAGAAGATCCGGCGAGAAAAGCAGTGGGCTGTGTCTATGGGTTAATTTACTCGTCGAGCCCTTGCCGAGGCTCGGCGAGGACAGTGACCGGTGCCTGAGGTCCCTAATTTGCGTGAGTTAGTAAACTCGCTAAAACTGCGTAGACTTTGTAAGATCGAGCGGTTCAAAACAAGTCGTGCTCGCGTTTTGATATCTTCCTTTCGAAATTGGATCGACCGATTGATCGAAATTCGAATGTTGAAAGTTGGCATAACAGTTGACAATTTTTTGATGTCACTGTTTAAATGGAAATATAATAAAATGTACATATTTACAAACACGTTACATATTAACCTAAAGTAAATTCAAAGTGTCGTAGAAAATTTTATATCTTTTTTTTTTCTTATAATTTTAAGCTTTCGGTGTTTTTAGTATATTAATAAAATGTCTCAACGATACACTTTTGTCAATAAATTTTTTTAGTTTGCAAGCCGTTTGAAAAGTCGGTATCGGTGATTTGAAATGATAAGAAACAATTTATGTTTATTTATATGGATGGCATATGGATTGTTTAAGACATGTTATAATATAAATATAGTGGACCGATTAAGACTTGTGTATAACGCTTGCGTTTACAAAGTTATTAAGAAGATGCATATCTTTAATACGGTCATACCAAATAGTTAACCATTGATTTTATATTATTATAGTATAATTTTGTTAATATATACTACATATGTTTGTTATTTTGATTTATTGAATTTTATTACGGTCCGTGATATTTAGTTAAAGCGTTCAGACATTTCATAGATATAAGCGAACTTTCTCTGTTGCAATTTAAATGTTAGTTACAAGAACGTAGTCTTAAGTATAATAAAAATTTGCATCTAATATAATGTAATATGTCTTTGTACGTAAATATATGTTTTCGATCGAATTTTTTTTACAGAAAGTGTACTACTGCATCGGATAGAATTTATAAACTACGATAATAAATTATGAACGGAAACGAAGGTTTGTGTATTGTCGAGTTTGTATACTTTGTTATTAGTATTTCTTAAATAAAGACGAAAAATAAAGGAACATGTTTTTAGTGTTGGAAGAGCGCTGATGATCTTTAAAGACCTGGTTTTCTGTTGAGTTTCCTAAATCTATCCATCAGCTTGGAAGCTCTCTCATATGCTAGATAAATTTACTGTGAATGGTCAAAGAAGCGGACCTCAATGCGATGAGTCTTCTTTAAATTTATAACGTAACTTTTTTTATTTTAAATAATGCATTATCTTGATAGATGTAGTCGGAGCACACCAATGTAAATACTTTATAAACATCTGGATTTGAACATATAATTTATTCATAAAACGGAAAACAACACGGTATCGGTTCTGTTAATGTAAAATGGAAATAAATGAAAAACCATTGAAATCAGTCGAAATGTACTCTTATTTCTAAATTGAGTTGCTTACATTCTAAAATTAAGCTAAGTAGCCTGTATGCAGAGAACTTTGTTAATTTTTTATCGGTTACTGCGATCATGAACTTTATCAAAAGTACATGTTAACGTAAATGTTTAAATTTCACAATTTAAGACATTTCATTATGTTATCTGTATGCTATTAAAATTGTTTTAAAATTTCTTCACGTGACGTTTTGCTGTTTACTTAGTTGCCAGTAATGTCCCTTGAGGCCAATGAGCTCTGCGTGGTTGCCTTTTTCTACTATTTTACCTGTTTTCAACAAATCGTCAAAACATTAAAAACAAATAAAATACAATTCGAAAAGAAAAGGAATGTTATAAGTAATCACAACACCTGGTGTTCAATGGTTACTAGAGCACAACACATAGACAACATTAGATGAATGCGCCTCTCCTCGAGACATGAGGTCTAAGTCTCAATTGTACAACTGTCCCACCCTCCAAACCCAAACTCATTACCGATTTGCGACAAAACTATGCAGGGCGGTGGTATCTACCCGTGCGGGCACAGAAGACTTTCTACCATCAATAATTACGCACATTAGAATTTTTGATGGTTTGATTCTAATAATACAATGTCATTCCTTCATTATGGAAGTCGCATGACCATGAGCTGAAGTTGGTATTTCATATTAAAAATTGATTCTGAGGGTTGGCGAGATTTGAACATCGGCAATGTCACGTTACTCGATACAAGCACAGCAGACACCTTATCTTTTGGGCTAGCATGACTTTAAAACTTAATTTAAATATATAAATAGGCAAAGACAAAACCCTTTTTCCCTTTGTATGTCAACCGATTTTTGTTTGTTTTGTAAAAATCCAAAAATATTTGTATTGACATTAAAACATTTTAGGAACAATCTTGTTTCCGTCTTTACGATTTTTCAATATCAAAACAAAAAAGAAACTGGACAAAAAAAACCTGAGCAGTCTGTGATCATCGACCAATTTCCACAACTGAGCGAAAAGTAGTAGGTACTTATGAAACCAAAAAATAACACGATACGATTACAATACTACTTTGATGATTGAAATAGAATTGATGGTCCAAAATCATGTCGCAAGGTAAATAAATCGGTTGCGTGAACCGTAAAACCGCCTAATAGAAACAATTTTACGTTGCCTAAATTACCTTTATCCAAAACACAAATGATATCAGCGTCCTTGATTGTAGTTAGACGATGAGCTATAGTAATGCAGGTTCGGCCTTTGGCTGCATGATCCAATGCCTCTGTTACAGCCTGAGAATAAAATGTAAAGGTTTCACTTTGTGATTAAAACGTCTTTAGCGAGTTGCCATTTTAACATATGAGATTTAGCTGTATTGGCGATTGCATGCAGCAGAGATGCGAATGTTGCGATGGATGTGTTGAGTAACGAGAATGGATAGAATACGGAATGAATATGTTAGAGGAAGTCTGAAAGTGGCACCTGGTGTGACAGAGAAGCTGAGAAGTGCGCGTTTGGGATGGTATGGAAATGTGATGAGACGAAATGAAAATGAGGTTGGTAAGAGAATGTTAACTATATGTGGAAGGATATAGAGGAAGAGGTAGACCTAAGAAGAAATGGATGGATTGCGTGAATGACGATATAGGTAAGAGGGAAGTGAGAGAAGGAATGGTACATGATAGAAGAGTATGGAAGGAGAAAACATGTTGCGCCGACCCCAGGTGACTGGGAGAAGGGCAGGATGATGATGATGATGAAATTTCGCTGTATTGTCAGTTTATGAGTAATGAATACTAAAAGCATATGGTACCCGTTCACTGTTGGCGTCCAAAGCTGAAGTTGCCTCATCCAAGAGGAGTAGGCGTGGTGATCTGATGAGGGCCCGCGCTATGCACACTCGCTGCTTTTGTCCTCCTGATAATTGAGCACCGCCTGATCCTAAGTTCGTTTCATAGCCCTGAAATAAAACTTCATAGTATCATCTTTTCAAATTAAAGTTTTCCAAATGTTTATCATTTCTGATGTAAGGAATATACGCCGATTTTTAGGATAAATTTTCTTAAATTAAAAACCAGGCTTAGGCCAGGCGAAAACTAAACAAGAATAGTTTTATTGAATGCTCGATATATAATATACATCAATTTACTATGAACCTTTGGTAAAGATACGATGAAATTGTGTATATTGGCCGCTTTAGCTGCTGCAATGATTTCATCCATAGTAGGTTTGCGACTGTTGTCACCGTACGCGATGTTCTCTGCGAGGGTGCGATCGAACAAAATGGGTTCTTGTTGCACCACCCCAAGTTGTTTTCGGAGTCGATTCAGTGTTAAGCTTTTCGTTATATCCACACCGTCCAATTCCTGTTTGTATAATGATACAACGTATTAATGGGATCGCAGTAGTAAAAATAAAGAATTTCATTAAATAATTTAAAATAAAAGACGTTTGCTTAATTCAATAGTTGCTTTAATATTCGTTTAATTATTCTGTACGAAAAGAAGTTTCGTGAAGATGTCTCGTGGATTTATCATTAGTAAGGACATGGATGAACTGAGTTTTTAATCCTCAACTCCCTTTCTCTAAGTCTGCGTTCTCTTTCGAATTCTTTCATACGCAGAACATAATCTTGTTGTTCACAGTTAAGATAGGCGTGCCTTTCATGGGCGCATCGATACAAAAGTGGCATGTGCTTGTAACGACAAACATTATAGTCTAAAAGTAAATGTGCACAATAATCTCTATACTTCACAGGTATTCTGGCTGATATAAGATCTTGTTCACAAGCGATCATTTTCCTTTGACCCCTTTTGAAGCAAAAACCTACGTCTGGGGGAAACGTTGGCTGTTCGTTTGATTGAAGATTAATGTGACGGGTATTATACGTTCCCATGATTTGACCCATTTTGTTTAAAGTACTGGTTTCCCTTTTTTAAATTGTATTCTCTCAGTAACTTATCTCTTAAATTACTTTATTCAAAACAATAATATCAGTCTTGAACCCAGACGATATTTACCTCAAATAATTGTCAAATGACATTGTCACAATATGTAATTTCATACTTCAGTGATGTAATTGACAAAAAAACTAGAAAAAGATCATCATACAAGGTCTAATGTAAAATTTCCTCTATGACTTGGTAAAACTAGATATTGCACATGTGAACAGTTTCATTGAATTCAGAATTTAAGTTTACGACAAGTCACGGATTCTCGATTTATAAAATAAACTTTTTAACACTACAAGTCCGACTGGCGGGCTTTTGTGAGTTTTTGTGAGTTCGTTGTTCCGGGCTGTTGGCGAAGATGATATATAAATAATGTTTACACTGATTTGGTATGAGGTTTTAATATAAAAGCGACACAATGACTAACATAAAATACAAAATGAGTTGAGAATCGTACAGTTAATCTAAGACTCGCAATATTTTACTGGTCGTCGTCGCGCGCGCTGAGGGCGTGTGTTTTCGCGCTCAGAGAGCTCTGTCTCAGCGGGCGGCAAGGCGGCGGCGGTATCGCACGTTCGGAAATTACGTTCCGTTATATCCTCCCCCTCCGAGTCACTAGAACGCCTCGTTAGTGGCTCGGCAGAAACAACAAGACGGGGCCGTCCACGCAGGCGTCGAGGCTGTACTGGAGCTGAGGCCTGACCGGTTTGATTATGATACCGGCTTCAAATGAGAAGCATGAAATTTCCCTAAAACCTACGAATTCAAATCAGTAACCTCATAGGTAGTAGGACTAACGATATTGCTAATCTGGTAGGGTCCGTCACGCTTAGGCATGAACTTCTTCGTTCTACCTTTGGCGGCATCACTTAACAAGTGCGTTGAGAGAAGGACTAGATCACCTACTTGGTAACTGGCACCAGATAACTGAATTTTGTCGGTTTGCTACTTCCTATCATCCTGATGATGTTCAGCGTAAGGCATTGGGGCTCCCCCTGGTCTGAAGACATCCTCGTTGCACTGCAGAAGAGTAGCTAGGCGGTCACGCTCGGGAGGACACAGCATAGTTCCCTCGTCTTCTCTTAAGAAATCAGCAGCAGAACAAGGCGTGAGGTCACTGGGATACTCGAACTCCAATGGAAAAACTCGTTCAGAACCATGGTAGCGCCATGTCGAAGTATGGAAGTCGATGGCTAAACCAGCTGCTACTAAAAAGTCTACACCCAATAATGTGTCCTTATCCTGGGCGTCCGGAAATACGACAAATTCCATGGGAATAACTTTACCCGGTAATAATTTTACATCAAGTGTCGTTGACAACATTTGTCGCGTTTGAATTGAACCATCGGCAAGCTTAACACGTATAGAACTAGACACAAAAGACTGATTATGCTGTTGCAGTAAGGCGTAGAGTGAAGAACCGGCAACAGTTCGCTTGGCTGCGGTGTCGATTAAACCCCTACCTCGGATTCCTAAAATCTCTATACCTAAAATAGGTCGTCGCGCGTTGCCATTTTGCGAAGAAGTTACAGACGAAAAGGTGACAAAACTATCACAATTAAAATTTGTGGTCCCTTTAACCGGTGCACATGTTTCCAGGTTGTGTCCTGAAAAATTTTTGGTCACCCTACTTTTATTATCGAATTCCTGGTTTTGTCCTGAAAAAATCATGGTCGCCCTAGTTGGTAACGGACCACGTGATGGACACTGACGAGAACGTTTCGTTTTCCATTTATGTCTATTATTTACGACGCACTGATTAACACAAAATTCCCTAGGAGATACTGATTTCAATTCGCTAGGTACATGAGTGCGGTTAAAACACTCCCCCTGCTTAACAGGACGAGATAAGTATGTAAACAAAGGCGTATCATCGGAACGCGGCAAATTTGAAACAATTTGTTTATCAACACGTTTATGGGACGAGTTTACATTACATTTACGGGCAAAATTATTATTTACGGGGGGTGTACTTACATTATTACATGATACCAAACTTAGCTGAGCAGTGTGTAGCGATGAATTAACATAATTTGGGCGCTCGGTATGAACACTACTGGATAAAAACAAGTCAGGTACAGCCCCAGTAAAAACCATAGGTAAACTTGCCAAATTACTCACCTGGGCGGACGGCTTACCAACAGCTGATGTCTCAGCGGTCGTTGTACCTCGCGATCGCGTTCGCGGTATTTGAATAAAATCGACCGCGCTAAAATTTGAACTACATTTGGAACAATTAGAACGTATGACTCCGCTCGCGCCGCAACCGTAACATTTAATATTATTTACTTTACTAACTACGTTATCGTTACTGTCATTCGCGGTTTGTTTTAATAACAATTTACGACACTGATCACGCGTATGACCGTAACTTTTACAATAAACACAGTATCGACGTTTCTCGGGTTTTTCGGCGGTCGGAGTGGCGTCGGCGTTATCGCCTGACGAACGTTGGCGCGGGGAAACTTCTACAGCGGCCGTAGGTACACGCTGCGTTGCAGGCCGCGGCGGCTCGAGTCGAGCGCGGGCGGCGGCGGCGGCACCCTTTGATGTCTCGGCGACGGCGTTTGAAGTATGCGCTTCTTTCGTAGAATCCTCAATACTTCGTGCTTTTTGCAGGAGAACATTGAAACTGGTGATTTCCTCTCTACGAAGGCGTTTACGAATTTTATGATGCAGTAATCCGTATATCATATCGAGCTCCACTTTTTCACATAGGTCGCCTCGAGGTAGCTTCGCGAGGAGTGCTCGAGCCCTGGCGACAAACAGGTCGGTTTTCTCCATAGGCTGCTGGCCGTCTGCGAATAGGTCGACATAAATTCTGTGGGGTGGGCGGCGATCACCAAAAGCACTTCGTAGATTTGAGATGACGTCTTCCCATGTAGAAACTTGATGCTTGATACCCTGCCACCAGGTAGCGGCGGTGTGTGTCAGCAACATGGAAATACCTTTTACGGCTACGTCATCGGGAACATTGGCGGCGTCTCTGTACGATTCTATTGCGTCGATAAAACCTTCTACTGACTCGTCTGCGCCTCCGCTGAATACAGATTTGCAGCGGCTGAAGTTGTTGGCGGGCCGATGGTCGAATGTAGGAGTCGCCGACTGCCTGACGCTATCTAACAGCTCCCGGAACGCGTCTAGCTGCGTTCGTTGAAGGGTGTCGATCAGCATGGTGATGTCTTCCGGGCGGAAGCAAGCACTGGCGGGCGGCGCGTCACTCGACGGCGCGTGGGGCGGCGACGCGGCTCTCGCGTCGCGCTCCTCGGAATTCGGCATCTTCTTTGGCGGCATTATTTGACGACGGTTTAGTCGGTAAAGTCAGGAAAACACAAATCGTTCATGCAGGCACAATAATTTCTGATAAATATCACTTCACAGCTAAACGTTCGGGCGCCATTTTTAACACTACAAGTCCGACTGGCGGGACTTTTGTGAATTTTCGTGAGTTCGTTGTTCCGGGCTGTTGGCGAAGATGATATATAAATAATGTTTACACTGATTTGGTATGAGGTTTTAATATAAAAGCGACACAATGACTAACATAAAATACAAAATGAGTTGAGAATCGTACAGTTAATCTAAGACTCGCAATATTTTACTGGTCGTCGTCGCGCGCGCTGAGGGCGTGTGTTTTCGCGCTCAGAGAGCTCTGTCTCAGCGGGCGGCAAGGCGGCGGCGGTATCGCACGTTCGGAAATTACGTTCCGTTATAACTTTAGGCAAAGGTTTTCTGCTTCGGTCACTTCTGCGCGATCATTCACTAACTCACTACTGACTCCCACAGATGGACTTGTGTGAAGGGTCAGTGGTGCCGAAGCACGTGGGTTGGTTATCCAGAGATCGAAACCGGCCCTACAAAAGGTACGTTATTGTACTTTCTGCTTCCGGAAAGAGATTACATTGTGTATACCACTTACAGTGCCAGAAAACAAAACGGCATTACCTAAAATTGTATGAAAAAAAATTTTTTAGTTCATACTTACAATATTTCCAGTTGTGGGATCATAGAATCTCTGTATAAGTTGCAACACTGTTGATTTTCCGCAGCCTGATGAACCAACAAGGGCAACAGTTTTGCCGGCTTCTACGTGCAAGTCAATACCTTTGAGAATCATCTGATGTGCTCGAGTAGGATAACTAAATTCGACATCGTTGAGACTGAAATTTCCTGATGCGGACTGTTTGAAAAAAAAAGTAGATGTCAAATAAAATTATTTTCTATTCTTCTAAAAAACTACTTACGTCGATAGTTTCAAAATTTTACCCAATCCGCTTTATCTTTGAGACCGTCTACTGTTCTGATTCTCGGCTCTCGGTTTATAATAGATAAGATCCTTGCACCGCAAGTTTTTGCCGAATTGAAGCTCGGTGCGTATACTAATGACTGACCCAGCATGTATGCTCCGTACATCACCGCCTCAGTAACACTGAAAGATAATAATGTTGACGTTTCAAAATATCTAGTTTCCATATATATTAAGTGTTATATATTAAGTGTATAATCTATGGTATAATCTATGTTCCAGTCTCCTTCGGACTTTTTGGCGGGAACGCGAGGAGTGAAGTTGTTTGATTTGTTTTATTTTGTCTATTTAGTGTTTCTTCAGGTTTAAATGTGTAATAACGGTGGTTTATTAACTGTTTAATATCTGTGAAAGTGCACAAATGTGGGAAAATGAAACAAAGTCGCTGGACGCAACTTCTCGGGATCCTCCAAAAAGTCCACTGAAAAAATCTTAGTAAATGACCACCATTTTACTAAGATTATATCATCTCATTTCATTTAATTTCATCCCAGTTGATTAACGTCTCAAATTAATCATTTTCATTTCATTTCGATAATCGACAGTATAAGCTTGATAAATTATGGTAAATTTTCTGAAACGTATTCCAATTTTACTGATTTTCCGATTTAGAACAGAGCTCTGAGCTATGAAAAGCTTGAAAAAGCCATTTGATAACTTGCGGCCATTTTTAAGATTTCATACATATTAGTTATACTCATAATAGTAAATACATTGAACAGATTCAAGCTACTGGTCTCCTGTGTTATGGGTGCCGGAAACATAAGTAAGAGACGGGATCAAGTACAAGGTGACCCTTAAACCCAAATATCTTTGAAAAATCCTAATTCCGGCCAGGAAGTTACAATTTGTATGATCTTTTAAAAACCAATTACATATTTTGACCTTAAAAATTTAAACCGCCGCTATTTAACTCACAGTAAAACAACTTCGTATTCGACTTCCCCATGGGCGACTAGAACTGCTCCATAAATGACAGCGCTGCAGTAAGACAGCAGTGGAACGTAAATACACAAACCAAGGACTAAGCCCCGCCAACGACTCTTCTTCACGACAGCTGCACAAGCGTCTATCAGTGCGTCTTGAAATCTTGTAATAAACAAAGATTCAATACCTGAAAAACAATCCAATTTAGCCGTAATAGTGTTACATTTGTAGTTCAGCGTGAACCTTGGCCGCTATTACCATTATATCTCTACACTAGTAATGTTACCTAAGCTCTGAACGGTTTTGATGCTAACTACTGCTTCTGTTGCGATCGCTGTAGCAGATTCCATTGCTTCTCGTTCATCTTGCTGTGATTTTTGAGACATTATACCTTCCAACCAAATACTTCCAACCATCTAAAATTAAAACAGCGCTTCACAGTCTTTGGTTCGTCTGAAAATATAAAATTTTAGTGAAATGTATCGAAATTTGCCGTTACTACTAGTGACCGAGCCTTACCAAAGGCAAAAACGCAGTAGCCACGAGGGTCAGTTTCCAGTTGTAGCTCATTGCCATGATGAATCCAACCGCAACCGAACTGAATCCTTGCAGAATAAGACCGATTCGTAATCCAGTAGCGCCTTGTACTTCCGCTGTATCGCCACTAAGTCTCGCACATACGGCACCAACTGTATTCGATTCTCTATCAAAGTAACCAATTTCCTATAAAAACAATAATAAAAAAATAATTTTTTTTCAATCAAAACTTATTGTTGTATTTAATTAATTTTTTTTCCGTCTCACTTGTCTTAACAAAGCTGCAAAATACTTGTAACGAAGACGTGTCGTCATTTTTAATCCTGCAGTGGTAAATGTACTGCTTTGGATGCACATAGATGTACCAGCAACCGCGGCCACAACGAGAAACAGTCCAGAATATAAGTCCGCAAAATATAAAACTTCGTTCTCGTCTGGCAAAATAAAAATCTGGAAAAAAGAAGTCCGTTAGTATCGAAACAAAGAGCAGTCCGAAAATCTTAAATGCTTGAATTTCTTACACCACTTGTGTAGCCCAATAGTAAAGCGAAAACAGGAAAGCAGGCTCCTTGAATGAAAGCTGCAATGGATCCGACTGTAAGATAGAGCCACTCGGGTGCATTAAGCTTCAGAAGCTGCCAATCACTAACCGGGGTCACGTCCTATGAATAATAATTTGTGTTGGGTAAATATATAACGTATATAATCCATAGATCTACGTTTCAGCTACGTTCGCAAGTTATAAATTACCTCATCGTCATCAATTTCTTCTATTTCATAATGGTCGCTGTAAGCGTGGCTTTGTAAGGCTGTTGACATAATTGAGGAAATTGACCCTCGTGGTGTAGCCATCCATTCGTGAGCTCCTGAAAGTTTGTTATTAAAATGTTAACGCTATTAACAGCGTCATAACATGATTTTTATACATGTTTATCAGTCAAACGGTCACCAACGATATTTTTTTGGGCTACAGTGTACTAAGTCGATACAGAGGCCCATAAAATTGACAACATGAATTTCACCCTATACTTAAGGATTTAAGGTCAGGTTCAATTGTACTGCATATTGGAATTTAAACCGGAACGCATAACTGCTTCACGGTAGAAATAAGACAGAATTACTTATTCGTATCACAAAAATATGCGCTACTAGCGACCAGTTATTGTTTCGACGCAAGTTTTAATTACTCAAACCTCACATAAACACATAAACACAAAAGCTCACATAATTTAATACAACACCAATATATCCTTATCGCTCGATAAAAAGTATACCCCATACGTGAATCTTCACGCAAAGACAAATTTATCTCTAAATACCTAACCTAATCCCTCCCTCTCCTTCCTCTGTCTGACTGTCATAAATAAACGAAGCTACGCGGTAACTTCCCCCACACGTCATTTCGGATCCTCCCGAGCCACTAACGGTGCTTTTAGGTACCTCAAGCACCGGTCTCGTCGAACCCGTCGCTTGCGACTAAGGGCTCGACAAGTAAATTAACCCTCAGACATAGCCCAATAAGTTTCTCGCCGGATCTTCTCAGTGGGTCGCGTTTCCGATCCGGTGGTAGATTCTGCGAAGTACGGCTCTTGCTAAGGTTCGTGTTAGCAACGTCGTCAGGTTTGAGACCCGTGAGCTCACCTACTAATTAAGGTTACGCTGAAATAGCCTCTCAAGGCTCTCAGCTTAGGTAGGAAAAAAAAAGTAACTTCCCTGTGCGGTTTCAGTCTCAAGTTTGATAACTACCTACATCACCAAATGAGGTTTAAAAAAATTTCTTCAAAGGTCTGGCACAACAGCTTGTGTCTGTAGTGAGCGTAAAGTATTAATAATTATCAAGTGGGCTCGATTCATTTGCTTTCGAAGGTAACAAAAGCCTTTCATGTAATTCTGATTTACCTTTGGCGGACTGACGCCTGTGAAGTTTCCTTACAGATCGTCTTTTGACATCTGGTTCGGGTCGCACCGCTGGCTGAAGTTCGCCATTTTGTTCTGTTTCTGGTTCTTCCAGCACCGTTCCAATTTCTTCTGGCTCTTTGGTCTCTTTTCCGCTGGTAACTAGTTTGTGATAAAAACCTGTAAAGGAAAACATAATGGATACAGATGGAGAATTGTACCTATCTTTGTAGGTTCTTATAAAGTTTTAAATTAAATCTTGCATATGAATTAATTAAATGTGAAATAGTAAACGAAATAATCATAAAAATTTTGCTAAGGAGATATCTACAAGGATCTGTCCCGTTCGTTTTTTTATTATAGAAAAAATCGCTACTTTAGTTACCTTTGGCCTTCATCAGTTCAACATGAGTCCCTTGCTCAATAATAGTTCCTTGATCCATGCAAATAATTCGATGGCAATTCACGATAGTCGACAATCTGAAGCAGTTTGAATAGTGAAAACTCTATTTAACGATATTTTAACCTAGCAATTAGTGTTTTCAATTTAGTCAACAATTAGATACTGTGTACGCATCATTAATAGCATGTAGATGGCCGTTGTAACTATACTGAGACCTTAGAACTCATATCTCAAGGTGGGTGGCGGCATTTACGTTGTAGAAGTCTATGGCTCCAGTAACCATTTAACACCAGGTGGGCCGTGAGCTCGTCCATCCATCTGCGCAATAAAAAAGATTCGAATTGGTTTTCATGATTACAAATTAACGGTTAACATTGAAAAGACCGAAAAGAATGGAGTGCATATGAATATACCCACACTCAGCATTGGGTGGACACAGGTTGAAAAAGAGAAGAGAGAGAGCTATGTGGTTTCATAGTATAGTACTACCCTACCTAGTAGTAAAACACAAAAAGGTCAAAAGTATGTTCAACTGCGTTCTCCCAGTATTACAATAGCATATTGCAACTACCAACCGAAATTTGCCGGACATGATTTGGTGTAGATGGCTAATACCATTTTACGTTTTTCTAACGCAAATCTATCAGACGTTCCGGCTTAAAGGATGGGATAGCCGTTATACAATATAATTGAGGCTTTGACTTAATTTAACACCAAGTATTTAAGCCTTGAACTAATATATTAAGCGACTTGAAAGCTAAATACCTGTGTGAGACTGTTAGTGTGGTTCTGCCAACGCTTGCTCTGTCCAATGCAGCTTGAACTTGTTTTTCGGAGTGAGGATCTAATGCTGAAGTAGCTTCATCTAACAGCAGAACAGCTGGTTCACGTAGAAGTGATCGTGCTATGGCTATGCGTTGTTTCTGACCGCCGGATAATGAGGCTCCACGCTCACCTATCACTGTTTCATAGCCCTGAAATACATACACTGAAGTCGTACATTTAGCGGTAGGCAGCGGCTTGGCTCTGCCCCTGGCATTGCTGAAGTCCATGGGCGACGATAACCACTCACCATAGGTGGGCCGTATGCTCGTCTGCCTACAAGGGCCATAAAAAAAACATCATTATCTATTTTCCTATACAAATAACACTTTCATTGGTGGTAAAACGTCGTAAGTTACTATGAGCCTATGTTTGTCTTGAGCTCATTGTTCGTTAGATTGAACGGTAAAGCAGTTATTATCCCAATGCAATTGAGAAATCGATTTTGTGACAAACCAGATAATGATATTGACGTAGCTGTGGCTATATATAGTTCAGGCAGGCTGAATGCATCATAGGAAAAATTTAAAACCAAAAACAAATTAATTTCATAAATTGTTATTTAGATAACAATTTATGAAATTGAATTAAATTAATTTACTCTTGCTATTATTATAGAACTCTATAGTTAAATCGACGAAACTAGGGATTGTGGATAAACAAGTCAGTACCTTAATAAAAATTACTTAAAACGGTTTAATTCTGTGTAATTAGTAATTCTGCTATCGGACTTACGTTTGGTAAATTCTTGATGAATTCATGTGCATAAGCCATTTCTGCTACTCTGTAAACATCTTCACTTGTTGCTTCTGGATACCCAATGGCTATATTATCGTAAATCGTTCCTCGAAAAAGGACAGGCTCTTGTCCTACCACACCTGTTTAATTGGAAACAAAAGCAAAACTAGATAAAGCAATTGCTATTACTCCTAACCGTGTTTTCACAAAACTATTTAATAACCAACCCAACGAAGATCGTAGCCATCCTATGTTTAGAGTTTTCAAATTTCTCCCGTCTAGTTTCACGGAGCCTTGATTAGGATCGTATAGCCTTTGCAGGAGTTGGAGTATAGTTGATTTGCCACAACCAGATGAGCCAACCAACGCCACGCTTTCTCCGGGTTTTATGTGAAGAGAAAATCCCTTCAAGATCTAAAGACAAATTTATATTTTAACAAAGCGTGACCTAAATAATAACGTACCAAACTTGAAATGTTATTTTTATGAAATGGAGAATGAGTTGTATTCAAATTGACATATTTACTCTGGGCCAAGTCAGAACTCTTTACCTGGGCCAATACATATTTTGAAATAATTATGAAAATATATCTTTTTAATGATTTTTCTGGAATTCACAAGATAAAAACATGATCGAAAAGACAATTTTTTTTTTTTTATTTTTTTTTTTTACATTTTATTACAACATTTAAATTACAAAATTTATTTTAATTTTATTATACCTTAATATCCGGACGAGATGGGTAACTAAAGTGTACGTCTTCTAAAGAAATTTCCCCTATGACTCTTCGCGGAGAAGAACCCGCGTCACTTAGGCAGTCAATTTTAGGGTGTTTGTCCAACAAGCTAAAAATACTGGCGGCCGCACCACGGGCCGTCGCGAACACTTCCATATGAGGCACACAGAGCGTAATCGATTGTGTCGCCATGTACACCGAAAATGTAATCTACGAATAAATGAATTATTATATTTAGTATTGTGTAGTATATCATTAAAAAAAACACGTGTGGCACTCGGAGACTGCCGCGGTAAAGCTATTGCATAGCATTTTTTATCAACTTATGCAATTATAAATCGGCAATAATAATTTAATATTAAAACAACAATAAATTAAGACCACGCTATATTTATAAACATTAACAAAAGCAAAACATTAACTGTCCCCTTCACACTCATAACCTAGACCGCGCGAGGGAGAGATGGACAGACTTTTTATGATATGTATGCGGCAGTGCGACGTCACGCCACGCGCTTATTCACAAACACTACACCAGCGCAACGTGTGAATGTGTTGAACGCGAGCTACATAGTAGGCGTAGTGGGGGTGTCCGGTTATTTTCGTTACGGAATTTCTTGATTCAGTCGCCGCGCTTAAGGCCCGTGATAGAAGCTATGCAATAGCTTAAAAATGATTAAATGTTTCAAAACAGATTAACTTTATTTAAAAAAAATTAAGCCAATTTTAACACATCTTTGGCTGTCTAAGAAAGAATGGGTATGTCGGGGAAAAATCTTGCTATTTCTTTAGCGCTGAAGTCACTGACGTCATCGATCATTACCTTTTTTATGATTGAAAGGTTACTGGTGGCCCGGAGGCCTTTCCAGTTTCATCAGGACAGGTGGGCGAACAAAGGCTCACCCAGGAAGGGTGGGTTTGCTAACAACTGCCCGAGCGCCTCCAAAGGAGACCTAACAACTCGAGAGCAATTGCTTCGCGAATGAATCACTACTAGATCGAAATGGCGACCCGCTGAGAAGATCCAGCGACAAAACTCAGCGGGCTGATATATGGGTTAGGTTGCACCTCGACCTCTTTGTCGAGTTCGACGAGTACGGTTACCGAGGTCCCTAAGCCTGCTCCTAGTGTTAGAGCTAAAGGCGTCTAATTCAAAGGTTATTGGATCTGATGGATCCTTAAGGACGTGTCTAGGGCGTCGACGGTGACTGGCTCCTGCATGATTAGGGTTCGGAGAGTAGTCAGCGGCGGCAACGATAAGACGATAAATCATTACCTCTACTCCCATCGCTAGATTTAAAAGCCCTAAACAGTACTCGTAATAAAATTATCGTACAGTCATGCGTTCTTAATACGAGTGCAGATTTTGGTGAAAATTACGGTGAAACATAATTATAGGTACATATATTTTGACATGTTATTAATACACATACGTGTTAAATTAAAAGCGAGTTAAAAATACAACATCTATTCTTATTGCGAATAAATTATAGAGGTTTTTGTTTACAATTTATCATCTCTGACGTCAGCGTATATAATTTGCATTTGATACGTCTCTCCGTCAGATGGAATTGTTTATAGCATTTACAAAGTATAAAACGTTAATAAGATTACTCACACTTAATACAATTCCAATAACGTAAGTTCTCTCATCGTCTGGTTTGTTGGCATCTTCAATAATGAGTCGAGTGCCATACATGAATCCAATTGTGTTTAGAGAATACGTGAGAACCCAATTAAAACCGTTTCCCAGTCCTGTGAATAAGCCGCGTCTGCGTCCACTTATTTCAGCGGGCTCTAACAATGATTTGTAACTGTAATATTAAGATGTAAACAAAACAGATTATTATCGTTATTATTATAATTGTAAATAGACATGCCTTAACAAGAACCGACTTCATATAAAAAAAAGATATTCCAAAACAAATTAATATACACTAAAAACAATAATCATCGAAATCGATGACATTGAGTTATTCATCTATTTGTCGCGCACGTAATTAATCCAAATTTAAGACTTATATGGTTTTCTCATAGATACCATTATCGGAACAGGACTAAATTGAAATGGGACCACACGGGATGCGTCAGCTTTCTAATAAAAAAATTATCATAAAAATCGATTCACCCAGTCAAAAGTTATGAGGTAACAAACATAAAAAAAAACATACAGTCGAATTGAGAACCTCCTCCTTGTTTGAAGTCGGTTAAAAAGCACGCATGCTATAGACAGCAGCGATAAAAATTTATTTATCCAAAATCGTTGATCGCTTCTTGTCATTTTTCCGAGTTAAATTATCATTTCTCATTCTTCGGTCGATGAAGCATGGTTAGTACGTTGCTGCGCGAAAAATGGACAAACCAAGAAATACGCATACCATGAAAATGACACGACTAGCTTAGACTAGGTAAGTACTAGTCTGTTTAAAACGGCAAACGTTGAGGTTCTTATCGGAAGTGATAATGGATTACATTATTTACGACGTAAATGCGCCACCCACCTTAAGATATAAGTTCTAAGGTCTGAGTATAGTTACAACGGGTGCCCCACCCTTCACCGAAATCGGTGCCGAAACGCATTACTGCTTCACGGCAGAAATAGGCAGGGTGGTGGTACCTACCCGTGTGGACTCACAAGAGGTCCTACCACCAGTAATTGCGCAAATTATAATTTTATTTACCTATAATAATTTATATATAATTTTATATATAAAATATTAAATTATATTTTTATTTATTTATTTATTCACCTACCGTTGAACTTCAATATTTTCTCCACCAAATGCCACGACCGTCTTTACAGATTTTAATACTTCTTCGGCTTGCTTTCCCGCTTGACTGTAAGATTCCATTTCTCGAATAGAGGATTTGGTTTGATACTAGAATCAAAATCGACAAGTTTGTTTTAATTCGTGATGTATTTTGATGATGTCGCATTTGTGTTACGTTCATTTAATCAAATTCAAAGCTTCAATCAAAATTAATTGTAGAACAATGCTTAGTTGTAATATCTAGGATAAACTCACATTTGTAAGAGCGACAGAAGCCATTATTGAGAATGGCATAACGGTGATGCAAGCGAGCGCGAGCTTCCAACCCAGGGGAAACGCAGTACATAAACATATGATGGAGGTACCTACTAAGTTAGATACCACGGCCAATTTCTCACCCATACCTTCTTTAAGCTTCATTAGATTTCTAAAAGAAGTAATCATGTTTTAATTTGAGATTAAGCCCGATCATAATATTCATCGTCGAAATTTAATTTAAGTTCGGTGCTATCTCGAATTTGGCATCAAACCTCGCAGTTGTTAATTATCACTATAATAACTAGTGGTCCCGGAGTAGTCGAAATTCGACTATAATTAATTGAAATTGTAAGTTTGTACACTATTATGATTCTATTTTCAAAGACTATTATACTTCTATAATCACAAATTTCGTCAAGACTACACTATAGAAAAATATTAATAAAGACAAACAATATTTAATCTATTCTCAATTTAACCACAGACGTCAGGAACAAAGGTTTGACAATAAATAAATAGTATGCATGCGTGTGTGCGGCAAATACATGGTAGTGTGTGTAATGTTTTTTTTATTGATTTAATGTATTTTTTAGTCATAATTTTAAAAAAATATAAACATTCTGCACTCCTTCTCTATATTCTCTATAAGTGTGAGAAATTTCGTATTCCTCGGTCGGCGGAATTTTCGTAAAAAGGGATGACATGCGATTATTTAAGAGATTCGGAAGACAACCCGAGTACCGTGTAACCATTTTCTAACGTGTTGAATTCAATGTTTGACTATATTAGCGATGAAAATTACATGCACATTGACATTGAAAGCCTTATCTTGGAACTTCTTTAGCACAACACAACCCGAGTCGAAATATACTTAGCTCAACTACATTTACATTTGTTTAAATGTTTGTTTTGTGTTTATTTTAAGTACCTATGATCGAACGTTGAACGCGATGAGTGTGTATTATCAACACTTGTAATGCCATGTCAACATGATAATCAATTGTTGGTTATTATGAACAGAAATAATTCTTAAATAGTTATGAGTTATATTCTAATATACTTCTCATTGACATTACTCCTATATTACTCAATTTATTAACAATATTATTAAAATGAACCATAGCTACTGATAACTAAGTTACCATTACAAGTTCAGTCGATTGATATAAAATATAGCCGAATATTATTACAACTATTGATAAATTCTAACTAACTAGGTTAACTATTAGGTCAGTACTAAATGTTTGTCAAATATCGATACTCTGTACTATTTAGCTGATTAGTGGAAAAAAATGCGTACTTAATATGCTAAAAAATATTTTTGGATGTTTGTGAAATAACATATAATATATTTACATACACAGTACTATAGTATCAACCTACATAGTATTATTAGTTACTGTTGTTTGATTTTCAAATGCTATAATGTCCCCAGAAATTATTAGCAATACTGCTATGAATATAAAACGAAATCTTTTAAAAATAAACGATAATATGGTAAAATAGGTAATTTTAGTATATCGCGGGTGATGTAAATCTATATATTAATACGTGAAGCAAAAACTTTGTATCCCTTTTAACGAAAATTGCGCGGACGGAGGAGTATGAAATTTTCCACACTTATAGAGAATATAGAGAAGTGCACAATGCTAATATTTTTTTAAATAATGCTAAAAAGTTACATTAAATCAATAAAGAAACACTTACACACACTACATACCATGTATTTGACGCACACCCGCATGCATACTATTTATTGTCAAACTTTTGTTATTGGCGTCTGTTGTCAAATTGAGAATAAATTAATTATTGTTTGCCTTTGTTAATATTTTTCTATAGTGTAGTCTTGACGAAATTTGTGATTATAGAAGTATAATAGTCTTTGAAAATAGAATCATAATAGTGTACTAACTTACAATTTCAATTAATTATAGTCGAATTTCGACTACTGCGGGACCACTAGTTTTTATTATTTCACAATATCAATTTTTTTTATTTCTTTTAAATTGAGAACAAATAAATGTAAAATAGGCAAGACTAATTATTTAATATTTAACACGACATTTGTTTTTGTATAATACAATAAGAAATACAAAGAGTGTAAATTAATTTTGATACTTTACGTATACTACTATATTTCACTTTTTCATTTATTTTTATATGCTTCTTAAGTAAAATTTACACACATGTTTATTATTAATAATTTAATGTGCTATATTTGTTTTTCATTGTATTCATATTGTGATTTCTATTGGGCGAAAACTTAATAATTTGGTTCTTATCCAAACATTTCACATTTGTTTACACATTACATTAAACATTTGTTATTGAATATACAGATATACATATTAATACATTTTATAATAAAATCCTTGAATTGCCTCTATGTATATATTTTCATCCAGTTTGAGCGCTTTGGGCAACAATTATTGCGATTAAATAAATCGTGTTTCTTTTAAACTAGCGACCCGCTCTGGCTTCGCTTCGGGGGCTATAATTTATTATTGATTTTATTGAATTTCCTTTTATGCATTTGTTTTAAACGACATTTAGTTTTTTTACATCCTCTTTTACTACGAGTAGGTATATTTGTAGCAGGCACACTGTCAATATTATGTCAAATGCCATAAGGTTACAATATAAAAATATTTTTCTAATTTTGCCGGCAATTTTCTTAATTTTTTCGTTCTTAAGATCTTCTCCTGACAATAACAAACGAAACAAAAAAAATATTATCCAATTTGTTGTATCCAAATGAAGTTATGCGCGCACATACTTTTTTTTTCTACCTATGTCGATAGCCTTGAAAGGCTATTTCAGCTTTACCCTAGCGTGTAGTGAGCTCTCGGGGCTCAAACCGGAAGGCGCGTACATACATTACACAGATTCATTTTTATACATAAGATGACGTACATAGAATCTATTATCCATAACAGCGAATACTCATAAACTAGTTTACACCAAATATGTACTGTTGGCTAATATTTCTATGAAAATCATGTTTCATTCAAAAACACCTGCTTAAGGTAAATGTAAAGAAAAGTATAAACGTAAGTAAAAATTTAAATTAACAACAACATTGTGCAAGGCCTTTTGATGTTTTTCTTAAAAAAAAGTTTATAACTTTGTTACTTTGAATAAGCTTTTTGATCGCTGACACATAGCTCAGCGGTTTCGCTATGCCCCAATAGATCCATGTTAAATAATTTAAACTATTTGGTTTCTTCAAACACCTTAAAAATTGATTAACGGCGTGTAAAATAACTCACAACTATTCCTTTTTTTTGTATTCTTGTACTATCGAAAATATGTCAGTTTGAAATTATTGTGAAAATACACAAAAACGAAGAAAATGAGAATCAGATGATCTTTTTTCTTTTTGGCATTTCAAAATATATATTTTTAGTTGTAAAGGCTTACAATAATAAAATGCAAATCATAGAATCAAAAACGGACAGAGTAAAAGAAACTTTGAAAAAAGAACAGAAAAGGACTATGGCATGTTGCAGTGGATACACTACCCAGAAATATGACCTATGGAAGCTTGTCAAGCAAATACCGATAAGAGGAGATGCTGCACCAGCCCTCGTAATATAAGATATGAAGAAGAATAAGAAGAAGGATACAGTTAATAATTCAATAATTACTCACTCAGACATTTTCGAAGCTAAATTGAAATCAGAATCGGTATCAAACCAAGTCATGTCTTGACGAAGTACTGCTGTCAGAAATAGCTTTCGTATGGTAGTTATCTGTTAAAAAAATCATCAATTAGTTATGGTAAATATTTAAATAGTTATTGTTTCGTCGATATTAAACCCAGGTAATGTTTGGATTTAAATTTACCAGTGGTATGCGGTATTTTGATGAAGCGACCATCGTAATGCAATACAAATGCAATACACTTAAGTCTTTCCCCTCAAGGCGGGTGGCGATTATTACATCGGACCTACGGGCTTCAATAACCACTTAAAATATGGATGCTCACTGACCATATATGGAAATAAATAAAAAACAACTTTGTTAGTAACTTTAGCACGCGACTAAACTATACCTTAATATCTGTTTAGTTTAATTAATTCAATGCAATTTCACAAATGCAAATTAAATACGAAGATCTTTGCCGAACAAAACTATTGGAGGTTTATAAACCAGACTGACCTTAAAGAGCTTGTTGAAACTTGTGCTTGTTGAAATTTGGGAAAGCTCTCACCTGTTTGAGTGCGCTCCAGCTTACCAAAGCCACCGACAGAACGTTGCATAATATCGAGAAGATTATACTGACAAATGCCCCTATAGCCACAGCTTGTGCATCTTCGATCAAAGCAGCCATATTTTCTTCGTGCGTGGCATTGTATCTAGACAATTATATTATTATCCATATTAATGTTAGTAGGAGTGATTCCTTAAAAATATTATATGAAGTGTCAAGTTCAGTTTTTATACTAAGGCACGCAAGGAAAAAGCCTTATCATTGATTCCATACGCACGGGTTCACAACTTAGTAAAATTTTATACAAGTGACGTGAACTGAATGTGAAAGACTGTTAGCAGATTATGGATTTAAAAAAAAAAATTAGTACTTAGTTACTTTAGAGTTCAATGACTTTAGACTACACGACAAGTACTTGAAATGTAGTATAATTAATTAAACTCAAACGATAACGAACCAGCGATAGCTGATCTTAGTGAGTCACAGGTAATGTTGTTTAGTTAAAATATAGTAAAATTTCATTATCAGAACCTGAGACTTTCATATTATGTATTTAGTTAATCTTATTGACGGGAAGTGTTTAATGTCTGAGCACAATCTTATCATTATGCAACATCACAGCTCGCAATTTAGTACAATAAAGCAATAAAAACCTTAAAGTCTATAAATACGCGTAAAGTCTGTTAATAGTGTTCTCTTTTTTATACTATCACTATTCACTATCGAGAAGAATTCGCTTCCTAGATGTTAATAAGTAGATACCCGTTGGAAAGGTCATGTCACTTACTGTAGTCATTTTCTAATCATTACATAGTATGTTTAATATTTTATTGCATGAACCATCTGTCAGTTCACCAGAAATACCACCACCAAGGACACACATACAATTAGCGCTAGTAACAAGAGAGCGTGACCGCGTTTCACTATTAATTAATAAAAAGACTATCTTCTGATCTGGGTGTAGACTTACAATCTCCGACCGCCTCCAAATAGAGACATTATAGGCATTTTACTGGTCAATCTGTCCGGCGGAACAGTTCTCTCAACAAAGGCAGTGCTCATTTCTCCAACTTGCATCAGGTTGTAAGTGACACCTCCAGCACTGAGAAGTCCGAATACTGTCCCCAAGATTGTGGCCGTAAGCTCCAACCACGACGCGTAACGAAACTGATCAAAAAATAAGCAAAGTAAGCTTTCTTTCGTTACGTAAATTTTGAATGACTACCTCACAGCGATAGTGATTTTACAAATTTTAGTATTTTACTTATATTTTAAGTAAAAGCTGCTTAATCAAAAGCTACATAACAAATAGGAAAAATAGATGATGTCGCGCTGTTATTAAGTTTTGTAAATAGTATATGACCGTGCCTATGAAGTATGATTTTATTTTTAATTTAGTTTCGTTGTAATTCGAAAGAGATTCAACATACATTTCATTTAATTTATTCAAAACCTTTTGTTTTGAATTTATTGAGAATTTAGTGAAGAAATAATTCTAATGTCATTAAATTAAACTTCTATTGTTATTCTCAAATAAAGCTAAATGACATTTTCTATTTTTTTGCATTATTCGAGTATAGCCAATCTATCTTCACTATTCGTCTGCTAGATTAGTATTCATTAATGAAGCGTAAATAATTTAAAATTGTGTTACTTGTTGTGTAATATTAAATAATACAGAGATTTTATAGTTTTTGTAACGCAAACAAAGCTGTTGTAGATTTACATGTTAAATAAAAGATTTTATTACCACACGTAATTGTACTATTTAAGCAAATAATGACATATGATAATAATTATTAGCGTAATAAGTCCTAAAAATCCCAATTAAGACCACGTATAAATTTGTATATTAATTTTCTGTTTACTCATAAACGTTTCTTTATATGTATTTTCTTCTTATCAAAATGGCAACCCGATTTTAAATCCTGAAACAATTCAAGGTGTTTGCTTTTACTTCCTTTAAGTGTTGATGTCTCAAATATTATTTGATGTAACGAATTCCATGATGATCACGTAACTATCACAAAATTAATCCTTTTATTTCCTTACATGAGCGTTTATAATTGAGGAGACGAATCGGATGTAAAGCTTAAATAATCCTTATTTAATAATTCGATTGCGGTTTGCTCCTTCAAATGGATCGAATATAGCAAGAAAACGATAGCTACAGCTCTAGTAATATATCAACTAATAAAGAAAATACTTAGTCGAAATCGACAATTCGTATTTTAAATACAAAACTGGATAATCTATACATACATATAAATAAAATTGAAGTGTCTGTTTGTAATATAACGGCTTTTTACTACACGCATATGAATATAGGTACGGTACATACACCAAAATAACATTTTTTACAATTTTTGTCTGTCTGACCGATTTTGACGAGATTTTCACTGATAGGTAGCTGATTTTTTTTAGAGTAGTTTCGTTATCAATAATAATATTTAATGTTTTCGAAGCGAAGCGAAGTCGGGTCGCTAGTTTTAAATATTATCGAAATACGACCTTAATAATCGAAAAATCGAGATTTTATTTGCTGTATTAAATTTTCTCATTTACTTTGTCATTGCCTTTTGAAAAACTTTATTATATCCCAAGCTTTTCAATTGATACCACTACATATTTCGAAACAAAATTAAAAGTAATTTGACTGTATGTTCTGGATGAAAAAGGGTTGTTCGTAATTTATAGAGGTCATAATTATTAAAATAATTTAATGACGAAAAAAAGCATAACATTAGATTGTGTCATATGGTTTTTTTCCCTATAGTTACTAGGCAGGACACCAAAATACGCGTTTGCTATTATATGTCATATATAATATGTTAATATATATTGAAAATTTAACTCGCTTGATAAGCTAAGGAATTTGAATTTTTTTTTTTAATTTTTTTATTGCCCTTGTAGGCAGACGAGCATACGGCCCACCTGATGGTGAGTGGTTACCGTCGCCCATGGACTTCAGCAATGCCAGGGGCAGAGCCAAGCCGCTGCCTACCGTTTAATACTCTCCACAAGCCTCGTTTGAAGAAGGACATGTCATAGCGCTCGGGAAACACCGTGGAGGGGAGCTCATTCCATAGCCGGATGGTACGTGGCAAAAAAGACCTCTGGAAACGCACTGTGGATGACCGCAGTGGCTCCAGGTAGTATGGATGAACTCTACTCCGGCGGCGGGCGGTGCGATGGTAAAAACGAGATGCCGGTATCATCTCGAACAATTCCTCATTGGAATTGGTCTCATTAAACAGTTTTTAAATGTTTAAAGAAATACTGTTCCATCTTAACAACGGACTATAGATCGCATCGGGCATGATAATCGCCTTATCGTTGCCGCCGCTGACTACTTCCCGAATCCTGATCATGCAGGAGCCAGTCACCGTCGACGCCCTAGACACGTCCTTACGGATCCATCAGATCCAATAACCTTTGCATTAGATGCCTTCAGCTCTAATACTAGGGGCAGGCTTAGGGACCCCGGTAACCGTACTCGTCGAACTCGATAAAGAGGTCGACGTGCAACCTAACCCATGCATCAGCCCGCTGAGTTTCTCGCCGGATCTTCTCAGCGGGTCGCGATTCCGATCCGGTAGTAGATTCATTCGCGAAACAATTGCTCTTGAGTTGTTAGGTCTCCTTCGGAGGCGCTCGGGNCTGATGGTGAGTGGTTACCGTCGCCCATGGACTTCAGCAATGCCAGGGGCAGAGCCAAGCCGCTGCCTACCGTTTAATACTCTCCACAAGCCTCGTTTGAAGAAGGACATGTCATAGCGCTCGGGAAACACCGTGGAGGGGAGCTCATTCCATAGCCGGATGGTACGTGGCAAAAAAGACCTCTGGAAACGCACTGTGGATGACCGCAGTGGCTCCAGGTAGTATGGATGAACTCTACTCCGGCGGCGGGCGGTGCGATGGTAAAAACGAGATGCCGGTATCATCTCGAACAATTCCTCATTGGAATTGGTCTCATTAAACAGTTTTTAAATGTTTAAAGAAATACTGTTCCATCTTAACAACGGACTATAGATCGCATCGGGCATGATAATCGCCTTATCGTTGCCGCCGCTGACTACTTCCCGAATCCTGATCATGCAGGAGCCAGTCACCGTCGACGCCCTAGACACGTCCTTACGGATCCATCAGATCCAATAACCTTTGCATTAGATGCCTTCAGCTCTAATACTAGGGGCAGGCTTAGGGACCCCGGTAACCGTACTCGTCGAACTCGATAAAGAGGTCGACGTGCAACCTAACCCATGCATCAGCCCGCTGAGTTTATCGCCGGATCTTCTCAGCGGGTCGCGATTCCGATCCGGTAGTAGATTCATTCGCGAAACAATTGCTCTTGAGTTGTTAGGTCTCCTTCGGAGGCGCTCGGGCAGTTGTTAGCAAATCCCACCCCTCTTGGCTGAGCCTTTGCTCGCCCACCTGTCCTGGTGAAACTGGAAAGGCTTTCGGGCCACCAGTAAACTTTCAATCATAAAAAAAAAA